TGCGCGGGGACCCTGCGGGATAGATCAGTGGGCCTGCGTCCGCTCTCCCTGCTCCTCCTGCCCTTTGCGTGTCACCGGGCAGCGAAGCGGAGAGAAGGAGGGAGGGAGGCCGGCTGCCAGCTCCGCTCAGCGGCGGAGCTTTAACCGAGCTCCTGCTGGGACTGCTTTTATCCGAAGCAGCTACATTATAACTCATATCGTAACAAATAGTTACAAAATGATGTTTACAAACGGCCGCATGTTTGTGTTGTTTGTTCGGCGTGTTTTGTCCTCCGGGGCGGCTGTGAAGGTGGCAGCAGCGGTACAGGCTGGGGAGGAGGAGCAGGAGGATGCTGTTGCACCTGTCGCTCCGAATCCCCGTCTCTTTACTGGAATGCAGCTAAAAGCTGCTACTGTAGCCGGCTGGCGGTGATGATAGTGGTGACGGTGGCAGTGATGAAAATGCTACATCCAAAGCTCCAGTCCGTCCCCGGCGGCAGTTGGGTGCTGGAGCTGGTTAATCCCTCATCCTCCAGCTTCTTGTGATGGATGGAGGCGCCTCCCTTGAGAGGAGGCTCTCGAAATGGAGATCCGTGGCACCATCATCCCGGTAACACCACGTCCTCATGGACGATGGAGCAGCGTGTGGACGCCCTGCTCCACGGTCTGCGCCACCAAATCCCATTTCAGTTCTCGGCTTTTTAAAAGAACGCGTCTGCTGGAGAGTCCGCATTTTCACTATCACCTAATCTATCAGCCATTTTTGAATCAGTAATTTACTCTGGGAAATTCGGTTGTAATTCTCTAATTCCTTGCAAATAAACTAAATCAGCTTTGCCCAAAATGCAGTTAGGGGGCCAATCGTGGTACATGGATAGGTTATTTTGTGGCCCAGGCTTCTTTCTGTTAAAGAAAATGTCACTGTCCACTTTCAGTGTAGGAGCGCCTCTTTTTGACATAATGTCAAAAAGTCCTGCAATGGTAGGACATCTGTCTGTCATGCAGTAGTTTCAGGTACAATTCCACCTACTGCCCAAGCTCCCAATACCAAATTGAATTGCACATTGCCAATCTAGTTAACTACTTTGTGCTAACTTTGAGCTGTTTGTGTGGTGAATTTAAAATGGATTAATTTAGAAACATTTTTGTACAACTTGTTATTTTAGTTTTAAGTTTTATTTATATTTTTAGGATTTATGTATTTAGTTGTATTCTGGCCAAACATTATTTGTATGTGGCTCATTGGACCTTTTTATGCCTGTTTTTCCCCCCTCTGTTTTTTTCTCGCATTATATTTACTACGAGGAAAAGGAGGATTGGAAGAAAAGTACTGTGTCAGGGCCCGGATGTGATTCATCTCTGACCTGGGTGGTTCGCTGTTGTTGTTCCCTCTGTGTTTGCAAAAGGAAGCAACTGTTTACGAGATTATGACAAGACAAAATTACAGTATAATATGACGTCGTAGGTCTCCACTGATCTAATATATCATATAAATATAGTATATTATATTTGTGACTACAGACCAGAGGCAGTGTGACAAACACCTGAGAGTAAGATGGAAGATTTGCTCTACAGCAGTGGTTTGAGCTGCGTTCACTAAGAATAATGGAATTTTTAAAACAATATTTCCGCCCATAACGTGAGGCTGTGGCCGCATCTGAAGTATAGACCATGACAGTTTCTCCCCGGCAGCTCTAAAGACTGGGTTAATAATTAATGGCTGTTGAATTTGTGTTGCAGGGTCTCATGTAAATCACTATGGTGCATGTAAAGCCCCTTGGCCTCTGATACACACACACACGGCGTGTTTCCTGTTTTCCCTCTGATTTGGTCAAAATGCACCATCCTCGTTTTCAAGTGCACACTCATAATTGATGAGTGATGAGACAGCGTGTGCTCTTCTGATCACATGTTGCAGATGGAACGGTCTGACGGCGCCGTCGTAGGATAATGGCTCCTGCAGAACACGGACCTAATGGCGTCAGTGCACAACTGTTGTGATGGTTTTAATGTGACAGGTGGAAATATTTATGACATTTAATAGTAAATACCTTAATGTAAGCGCCAAACTAAATCATGACATGTCAGGGAAATTGAGGTTTTTTTTTATTGTTTCTTCTAACCACTACTCCTCTGATTTATTCATTCTAATTTTATGCCCGACTGATGTTTGTTACATGATGAAAGTTCAAGTCAGTGTAGAACTGGCTGGTCCAAATACAGGCCCCCAGGTTTATGGGGCCCCAGACCTGTGATGGTTAACAGTGATGGACGAACTGATGAAATATTCAAGCCTGTGTTTTAATTTCTCTCTGGAGATCTGCAGCAGCTACAGCATTGATCCAAATTTTGCGCTGGATACGTTTAGATATGTGAGGTTTGACTTCAAATAGATGAAATACTGAGATTGCAGTTTCACATATTTTAGTCACAGGCCTACAAGGGATTTTTTTTAGTATTAAATCTGTTTGACAAAATTATGGCCCCTCCCTGCTCAACACTGATCAGAACAAGCCTTCTTCCGTGATATTACCTCTGTATTGTGCATGAAATGGGTTCTCTGCTATTTTGGTACATTTTTTTGTGTGTAAACCTTCCATGCAGCTAATGACTAATTAGACAAGATATCAGTTCAGATTCAGTTATTATTAGTAGTACCACTCATTCACTTCAACCACATACAGTCACATTTGTAATTTAACCTACAAATGTAACACGTCGCGTTAAGAAGACAGTGACTTTATGTTGTTTGGCCATTAGCATGTAAGCTGTAAATTCAGTGAGACATGTAAAACTGGTTTTTACTGTAGTAATATAGCTTCTTATGTTACGCAGCTGATGTATCACTGTCAGGCTCAATTTGATCCATTGCACAGAGACATTACAGAGAGGCTAAAGAGCTACACGTGGCTCAGGAGCCACAGGGTTGCAGACCCTTGCTTTGATGTTAGGCCGAGAACCTGATTCCCATTAGACTCAGGAGGGTCACTGGTTTTCTGAACTACTGTACATGTGTATTTGATCTTATTTGCTCTGTGTGGTTTTTAGGATTAAATTAGTGTCTGTGAAACTTAATGGTACAATGTGGGTTTGGTTGATTAACAGTTTACAGTTTTGTATCCTGTCCTGTAAACCTGTATTTAATGTTGGTCACACTGGTGGTAATAATTATCGTCTTAGAAATGATGGAGAACTTTCTAGTCTGTTGACTAGACTGACCCACCATGTTTGAGTTTTTGCCTTTGCGAACAAGAACCGCTCCAGACCTTTAAGTATGAACCACCCTCAAACTCTCAGCTGTTTAATGATCAGCACTGAACTGGGACTGATCAGCCTCGACCCGGTGGCTGCTCACACTGTTAGCGTCTGCATGTCTGGCAGCCAACTAGACATTTGATCCCAGATTCAGGGTGTGGCACTGGGCCTGTGTGTTGTGCCAGCAGCACATGGCTGAAATATTCATATCAGCAATGCTGCAGCCATTAGGCCACTGCTGTAACTGTCACATAGTATACACACACACTTTGTCCCTGTTATTTCCTGCAGGAATGTTTTGCTGATGTTAAAGTTGTTCTCCTCTCAAACCTGGCCGTCATGATGTATTCACTGTTAAATTATCAGCCGCACTGATTAATTAAGACTGTGAATACATTAAAACTGTAAGTGAGATCTCTGTTCAACCACTAATGGTTTACCAGAGTCACAGTGAATACGAAGATGGATGACACACTACTGTTCTGGGAATTCTGGGAATTAATACATTCTTCCTGAGTTCTACTTTTCACACCGAAAGTAATAAAATTCCACATGGCAGGAAGATGCCTCGCCAAGACAAGTCTTTGGGAAGAGTCTTTAAGAGGGGTGAAAGGTCAAAAGAGCAGCTTCAAAATTTAGAGTGCAGATTTATCACAACAGCTGATTCTAACAAACTGACAAATGAAACTGAAGGTCAACATTAAATGCGTATTGACTTATCCTCCCTTCTAAATTCACCAACTTCTCTAAATTACACCAATATCCACAAGATACTTTGGCCATAATTTCAGTCTGTGAATGCATCTTCAGTGATTCAGTAGAGGGCGCTCTAACAGCTTGATCCATTGTTAACATATCAGGTAGGGGTGTAATTCCCAGTCAAATATTCCTGGTGTTGATTCATTTTCTTTCTTCTCTAGTGATTCCAAATGTAGATCCCTCTGTTCCAATGTTAGTGACCTGATGTTAGGATGGACCAGTGTTGTGTGTTTATTATGATGACAGTTTGACTACAGTTACATTGTTTAGAAAAAAAACTCAACTTAAAGTCGTGCCTATAGTATCGCAATATATTGAATCGTTGCCCTTTATTGTGATACGTATTGTATCGCCTGATTCTTGCCAATACACACCCTTAGTATCAGGTTCTAAAAACAGTGCTGCAACATCTGAGTATAAGAAATAGTACTAGTACTGTGGTGAAATATTACTGTCACTGGACACTTTGGTTTGACCAGCTGTAAGTTCCAGTGTTGAACACCAGCCAATCATCTTCCAGAGTGTTTGTAGCATTTCAGAGATAAAAATGTCTTTGGCTTTTCTTTCTTTTCCTTTTTTCTGTTTGGATCAGCTCAGAAAGAACAAACTCTAATAACACTCCCGCCGCACCCCTGCACTGGCTCCTCCACACTGGCTCCCTGTTGGATTTCATATTGATTTTTAAATTTTATAGCACAATCCTAAGGGCTTGAGCAGCCCTGCTCCCAAATCCCTCTGATTTACTGACCTGGTATTTGCCCTCCACCACTGAGACATGTGGACGGAGCCTTGCAGATTAGCCCCAGGTCAGTGTTTGTGAAAAAGGTTGACTGGTCTTTTGTCACACTGGAATCCTTGCCCATTGGACTCAGGCACAATAAGAGCTGAGCCTCTTTTAAATATCCTTAAAATCTGCTTTTGTTTTTCCTGAACGGGCGAGAGCGGAACAAGGATGGGAAGAAAGACAGAGAATGGAAGGAAATGGGAGAAAATGCAACAGCGTGGGAAACAAACTCAACAACATTGTAGTGACAGCAGTGTAAAAATAGGAAATTCCTTGGTCTTTACTTTTCCTTTAAACCGGGGGACGGTTCAGACCTAACACAGGGAAGACTTAACATGAGTTTGAGCATCAGCCGTAGCTAGAACAGTGAGAACAGCAGAACAGTGACATCAGCAAACTGCCTGTATCGCTCAGTGGCACCAACACGAGGCCTGATGCCATAGTTTGACACACGTTTGTGGCTGCAGTGAAGCCTGGTTGAATATGAATGTGATGCTGAGCAGAGATAGCATCATATTGACTGGCCTTGACAGTGGGTGGGGAGGGGGCACACTGAGGGATGGGGGGGTGACAGATGATGAGATTGAGATAGAGGGAGCACTTTTCTCTGTCTAATAGGATTACTGTGTAAATGTGTTTGGCTGAAGGGCTCTGGAGAGACCCCCAAAGGAGAAAGAGGGGTGAGGTTGAAGGGTAGGGGGGTATCTGTTTGAACATGAGGGACAGTGGGAGTCAGGGTGGGTTTGCTATATACAAAAAAAGTACTGCATCTTGTGGTCAATATTAGTACTAATAATTGTATTAATACTCCTGGGATGGAGCACAGTCACAGAGGCTTTGATAGAAAATGGTCCACATGGGCCAACATTAGGACTGCAGTACTGGAGAATCCAAAATATGTATCTATTCTGATGATTCAGGGTAATATTTGTCTGGTGACATGTACTAGTTAACGTTCTTTCTAACAGAAAAACAAGACTTTAACTACGGTTGGATTCTTTAAATGCTGATGTAAAGAGTCAAATCCAGCAGATTAGTTTAGTACTTTTATGATAAAATATGATGCATATTAAACATCATAGTCACAGTTTTGTGCTTGATGCTAGCTCCTGCTGGTGAACAGTGGTATTGCAGCTAAAATAACATTTGCAAGTGGACAAAAGATTAAAACTCAGTGAGAACATTCATCTTTTATATGCCACATTTTTAAATATAAATAACTATTTTCTTTTTGACAGCCCTAGTGGACAACATGTGTACTTCAGGGCAGGTCTGGAAGCAGCTGTTCTGCACTGACATAGTGATATAGGGTGTTGTATACAGAGCATAGAGCTTATATAACATAAATTACTGCTGCAGTTTTTCTTTTTTTTCTGTTCTCTTTAAAATGAAGTAATAGTGGTGTTAAGAGTACTTTGTGCCGTAATATATGCATTGTGAAGGGCTGATGCTCAGTTGGGGGGGATTAGAGGTAAAAATGAAGCATTGATCAGACTCACAGCCTTTTTTTTCAACACCACAGGGGTCTCATGTTGTCAGGGAATGGGTATTGATCGGTGCAGTAGGAGGAGGTGGTGCTGGTATGTGGCAGGAAGGTTGGTTGAATGTGACCTCAGCTGCAACTCACAGCTCTATTAAGTTCAACACATGGATGTCATGCAGATGCACAGGGTAATTGTCAGTTCATTATGTTGTATAGGGATTGATGGGGACGGACAAACATGAGATCTGTGTGGCCGTGTACGTGTTTCTATGGGAGAGAAAAAAAAACAGAGGACTCCATAGAACAAACCAGAGTAAAATTGACCTTTGGTGTGAATGTGAACGGTGGTTTGTTTCTACCTGTGACTGTGGAGAACTGGAGAACAGTCAGATGTTGAGTTCTTCTTTCTGTCTTCTTTCCTCTGCACCGGCACTGGATTTAAATCTAATACAGAAAGTAAACATTTCTCTCAGTTTTGAGTAAATAAAAACCAAGATGATTGGAATCAAAACATGAATAATGAATCATGTGGATCCATGCTGATTAATTGTAGCCATTTAAAGACAGGAAGTGTGTGTGTTGGTGTTTCAGGCTGAATAAAAAGACCATGAATCAGTGGAGCTTGAGCTGCTGCAGGATTTATGGAGCGTCAGAGCTGCGCTGTGCAGAAAGGCAGGCTGGGAGTGTGCACTGGGTTAACAAGCAGGAGACACTTTTAATTAGCCATGCTGCAGCTGAGGAGCTAATCAACTTTACATGTTGACACACACACACACACACATACACACACTCACACTCACACATACGGTGCTGTCAGTGTATTAGAATTAAAACCTCCCCCGTCGGCCACTGTTGTATTTGCGGTAGGTGGGTGTTGTGGGCAGAGGCAGTGGTGCGAGACAGGACGCCGGAGTGGGACACTTTGATTTGTACTCAATTAACAGGCAACCCACCCGTTTGGTTGGGTTATCGCCCCCTGTGGATGGTTTTGTCTTGTCCCTCTTTTCTCACCGTGCTTTAACGAAGGCCTGAGGAACAACAAGAGTGTGTGACAACGCTGCACAACATGGCAGCAGGGACTGCAGAGTGTGTGCTGTCACGCTAGGCTGAATAGTCACTGTGCTGCCCATCTGTGACGCTGCTTCCACCACAACTCTCATTTTCCTGTAGGCACTGAAAGCATTTTAGGTTCTTTGCCATAGATCTGACCACGTCTGAGCAGATCTTCTCAGGTCGACAAAAATATTATATTTGGTGTATAGTCCATCACAGGGCAACATATTGAGACAACCATTCACACTCATTCACACCATTGGCTAGTCTTGAGTGAACAATTAACCACATTCTGCGTGTTTTTTCCAGAAATAGCAGCACCTGTAGTGAACTGTTACATTACAGTTACCACCAGGGGGAGTAAACTGTGTGCATGATCCTGTCATTGGCATCGATCCGTTCTAGATATGTGAGAGAAACATATTGAGACAACCATTCACACTCATTCACACCATTGGCTAGTCTTGAGTGAACAATTAACCACATTCTGCGTGTTTTTTCCAGAAATAGCAGCACCTGTAGTGAACTGTTACATTACAGTTACCACCAGGGGGAGTAAACTGTGTGCATGATCCTGTCATTGGCATCGATCCGTTCTAGATATTATCCTGATAAAACAACAAAGTCTGGACTAGAATCAGCCAGTGTCGATGAACCTTTGGTGAACTTAATTTTCAGAGAAGCTAAAACTGGCAGAGTGAACCTATTTTTTAATAAAGCTGGAGCCAATTGGTCTTTGATTGATGGAGCGGTGCTGAAGTGAAAGCACCTTGTGGTCACATGACTGTTTCTTTGCCCACTGTTTGCCCTGGCTTGTTAAACAGTTTGTCGTTAGGCGTCTGTATATCTGCAGTCAGAGGAACCGCCTGACGTACGACCAGGCTGTGACCCCTGACCCTCTGTGCCGGCCCCTCCAGTAGCAGTCTATATAGTGACTTTGTTCCCAGTGTTGGTGTTTGTTTGTCTCCTGATCAGTGAACTTAAGCAAAGCGACGGCTCTTGGATCCGACCGCAGCTTCAGCTCAGAGCCAGTGTTTACACACTGAGTGTAATGATGCAGCAGTAAGACTGATTTCAAATCCATCCACGCGTTACAAACGCCGGGGTGTGTGTCTGTGTGTGTGTCAGCCGTGTGTGACTGGCGGCTGGAGTTCAAACTGTTTATGGCAGGTATTCAGTTTCCAGACACACCGCACATGTGAAGAACCCAAGGGTCAGGGAATTTGCCAAGGCCGTCGTTGCTAGGAGACCACCATCTCCACACGCTTTTGTGCTGAAGAGCCTCCAGCAGAAACCACTGCATCACACCTCCACACACTCATGTACACACACACAAACACACACACAGATGGCAGGAGATTGGCTGTGATGGAGATATATTTGGACTCTCTGTTGTAGCAGAGAGGTTTCTGTGAAGCTGTGATTCGGTTGGACATCTTCAGTCTTGATCAGTGCTGGAAGATTTAACTGCACAAATGTTGTGTTTGCTCACGGGATAAAGTGATTATTCTTTTACTGGTGACAAATTGGCTGATCATTTTACTGATTACGATTTAAATATAGCAGATGTCTAAAAGTTTTATTCAAAGAAAATCAACTATGCTGCAGAATAAATTTCATTATTTAACTTTGAAAACAAATTAGAGTTAAATAAACCTCCATGAACCATTCATCCTTAAAAGTCAGTTAACTGAAGAATTAAAATGATCCAATAAATCATATCTTTGGTTAATTGTTATGTGCTGTATGTTTTTTTCTTTGACAGTCAACTTGTATAAGACTTCCATATTGTCTGTAGGTTTTTCATTGACCTGCAGACTGAGGATTAGGTTCAACCCCAATTGCGTGTAATTAATTATTCTTTAAAATTGTTTAGCTTTAGACCAAATAAATACCCATTGTTTGTTGGTGATTTGAGATGTTAAAGTAGGAACCTTTGAATAACAAATGTTATGAATCAATTGAAGCGCTACTCAACCAAGATGACGTACAAGTTCAATCCAAAGACTGGATTATGAGGAAACCGGTTCAGAGCCTAAAAATGAGTTGCACGTTCCATAGGTCAACATGGGGGGAGGGAGGGGTATGGGGGGGGGCTGCATTTAGACATAAAGCTTGCACATCTTGTAATGCTGCGGGGTAAAAGCTGTTCCAGGAGGTCGTCTGCCTCCAACGTTTCAACAACCCGCTGCTCCGTCTGTTGCTGCTGCTGCAGCTATTTTTAGTGTGTGGGTGTTGAGAGGTCCACATCACCCAACCGGAGACTCCAGCTCCACCAGCACCGGTGCAGTAACACGCACACAGTGCTACCCAAGAGTACAGATGGGGGTGGTGATGAAAAATGAAAGCTGATGAAATGAGACAAACTGGCAGCACTGAAGTGGTCTGGGTTTGATAGAGCTGCCACTGTAGGGGAGACGGGGGAGGTGGGGGAGAGGTTTCAGGCAGCCCTTCCCTATTATTCCTGGTTCAGAGTAGAGAAGTTCCACTCCTGGATTTTCAGTGTTCAAAGACAGTATGGACTGTATTGCACATTAAAGTAAAGACTGAGTTTTGCAAGAATATATCTGATCAGGTCAATTATCGGCCAATAACGCTGTTGTTACTACAGTTATTCAAAGACAATAAATTGATCAGTGAACGCAGCAAGGTTCCTACACCGAGCTGTCTGTTCACTGACCAGACAGACAGATGCATTGTAACTAAAGCTAGCTCAGCACGTGTTCGCTGGTCTGTGTGTTTACACCAAACCAGGTCTGTTTTTCAGACGACAAAACTGTTGAAATCAGTAAAATGTGAATTTCTGAAATTATATGCGAAGGAAAAGAAATATTAGTAATTTTAACAACAGTTTAAAAGGGGAGGAGGGCTGTTAGCACCGAGGCTAACAAGAAAGAACTATCTTTAAAATGCATTGATTTCTTTCCAGAAGTAACGCATAACTTTTTATTACTTAAACGTAACAGTTGCTTTTACTTTTGTTAGACCAACAACCTGTGCAGTTCGCCAGTTTTCTTCAGTTCTGCGTTTTTCTTCCTGAAACCAGGCTTTTAATTTGCCTGAGCTGCGGTCACTGCTCATGTGACTGTGGATTATCTTAATGACCACCATTAACGCTACTACAGGTTAGTAACAACTCAGGTGTTAGCGCTGGTGTTAGCTGACACCTCCGCTGTCTCATGTTACTGCAGGTAACGTGCGGCACGTGAGGTTGAGCTGCAACCTCAAACTCCAACCGGAGTTTAGTTTTAAAAACAACTTCTATGCACGGTGAGAGTAGAACAGACCAAACTCTGTCACCACAGGTCCTCTGAGCCAAATGAAATATTTAATGTGTTAAAAAAGATTATTCATATTTTAGAGTGCAGTGATTAGTTTGAAAAGGCATGTATATTTTCATCTACATCTACAGTATGTGTATATACAAAAATACATATATACATAAAATATGTATATATACAGTATATGACCTATATACATATATAAACATGTAGATATATATGTATATATGTGTAGATATTATATACACATTCACCTTTTTTCTGCCTGGTTTGTAGGCGTCTGTGTTTGTGGGTCTGCTGCGTCACTTTAGATTTTCTCTCTCAGAAGGACATCAGCGATGTTACTAGATAATGTTGTCACGTGTGACCTGGAGTTAATTACCCCCTCAGCTCAGCGGGACACCCCAGAGACGTTCTCACTGTGTCAGTCCTCAGGGGGAGTCCACACCCACTGAGTCCGTCTTAATTCATTGGGTTTTTACAGCTGTCAGCCACAGGGAATACTTAAAGGTTCTAATATGAGGAGGACGAGGAGAGCGAGGAGTTGACTTGACTCATTTGCTGCGAAGCAGACGGACGAGCATGTGCTAGCATGCGACACAGGGACACATTCATGTTGTCTCCAAGCTGCCAGCGTCAGCTTCCTGTTTGGCTGCAGGAGACAGCTGCTGGCCTCGGTGTCACACACACAGTGTGTGCGTGTATGTTTGTGCACGTGTGTGTGTGTGTGTGTGACTCAAACTCAGCTGCATGAGTTCTCCATAATGCTGCAAACTGTTCACAGTGCTGTGTTTACTGACTCCTCCGAGAACACGAGAGGTTTAAATGACACCAAATACAAAAATAAATAAAACTGTGTAAAAAAACAAACACAGAACTGTAAAAAGCTGAATCATTAAAGCAGGAACAAACAGGAATGTTGTCCTCAGGCTGTGGAAGGGAATCTGAGCGACAGGAATCCTAGAAAACGTGTTGTGTTACACGTCGGGCTAGTATTTCAGGAAAACCCTATTTACAGGACCAGGACACAGACACTGGGGGGGCGAGGAGGTGTTAGGGAGCCAGACATCAGCTTCAGACAAGCTGTGGAACTAGTTCTTCTTCTTTAAAGATTTTAATCATTTCATTTCATTTTAACCAGGTCAATACAAAAATATTTTTTCCCT